GTTTTGCATGATTTCAATGCTTATGTTGCATGCTAATTAGTCCATGATTCCCCCTTTCAAATGTGTTTGAGGGTTGTCCAATTTGTGCTTAAGCGTTGGCCTTTCACATGTGTATGTGTGCATGTGTATTTGGTTCGCTTCATTATAGCATTTTGGCTACTGTTTTGGCCATTGGAGCTGCCCAAATCATGTTTAAGACCACCTTTCCATTGGCTAGCATTGCCTCATGTTTGCTTGCATGCTTGCATAAGTGTATCGCCATGCATGTTGCATCCTTAGCTGCATGCTTAGGTTGCATTGCATCTTGCATGCATGCCTTGTTCCTTGACTTGTGATAGGAATTGGGCCTTGTTTGGTTTGATTTGTTTGCATGCATTTGAAATCAAAGTTGCATACTTGGTTCTTTTGGGCCTCATGCATAGAAATGCGTGATTGGTGGTCCGAGAATCGAGGCACATGCCCCTTTGAGTCATTAACATGATAAGGAATGTGATAGGTGGCATAAATTGCTTGAATTGCATTGCCATGCAAGATTTTGCCCTGTGCTGCTGTGAGTTGCAGGTTCTGCAAGGAATTTATTTGCCGGCCGGCAGTATTTAGTGCCGACCGATAGTCAATCGATGGCCGGTGGATCTTTTTGTGCCGGGTGCTAAATGCTACTGCCGGTGGAAATTCTGCTCAGCCGATGATAATCCCCCAGTGTCCTGAGAGGCATCCCTGAGACTTTGGCAGTTTTTAGAGGAGCAGAGCAGGGAAAACAGAGGCAAACTATGCATAGCAGTGCGATTCCGAGCCAGTCCCGAGCAATGTGTTGCATCCTGGCCCACGCCCCGAGGCGGTTTACGTTTTTCTTTAGTTTAGTTAATTTGTTAATTAATTAAGAAATTTGTAATATTTAATTAGCTTTGCGTAGTTAATTAATTTGTAATATTTATTTTGGTCCTCCGAGTGAGGGCAAATCTGTAATAAGTGTGTGTGGGTGGTTGTGTATGTCTTCCAACCTCAACGTCTTTCTTCCCTTTTATTACCTGCTTATGATGGTAGATTAGGCACGTTTAATTTCAGCATACCTTATGCTATGCATGTGTGCATCCATGCATTTGTATTGCATGCATTAGGCTCGGTACATCACGCTAACTGCATCTGTACTTCAATTCACAAAATTGAATATGTGGTAGTTGACCGCATTTCACATGCCATGTTTAGGGTTAGCCGAGCCTGCCTAGATTGCATTTTTGGATGTGATGCATTAGCCATTTTTTAACATGAACTAAGGACATGCATGTTTGCTAACTAGTTTACTGTTTTGGAGACGGAGTACTGATGTAAGTATTTTGCTTAGCATCCCGCATGCGGTGAGTGTTGCCATGACAGTATGCCTGCCATGCGGCTAAGTGCTTATGTGTTAAATTATTTGAATGCCTGTGGGTGAAGGTTGGATTGTTTTGAGTTGGAAAAAACTGCATTGAAATTCAGTTTTTAGCCTACTTGCGAAGTAGCAATTTCAACCATTTTCAAACAACGGATATGCAATGTTTCTTTCAAATTAGGCAATCTAGTCTATACTTGTTTGCTGCGCGCATACATAGAATTTATAGCTAATAAATGGATAAGAAACACAAACGTTTTCAAAATGGAATATCATGGTTAGTAGAGGCCCGGTCTTCGGACCGGGCGAAAGGGTGCTCAATAGCGACCTTCCCCGATCGTACCCAAGCTCCCGAGCCGAGACAACTCCGGTGATGACGGACATGTGGCCTTCGGCACCGAGTCAGGTTTCCTAAATTCCCATTTTAAAATATTTAGGTGGCGACTCTGTATCTGGCAAAGCAGTCCATGTTTGGCACTACTTTTTCAAAAATCTGTTTCTCAAAACGATTTGCCAGATTTGGACTCTTTGGTTCAGATTAAGAACCGCGACAACAAAAATCGCGAGTCCGAACTGTAGCAGCGAAGGTCCCCCCTCGCGGGCGCGTTCTACAATAACACCTGGCTAACCTGTAACAGAAAGAGAAGATTCCGACGGTGGTTCGTCCACCTGGGGACACTCCGACGATCAAGTTAGTATATCTCTCAAAGATAATCAATAGTGCTTAACTCACTAGACAGAATATAAATTGCGTACCTTAAACCCATGGGGGTGCCTCTCTTTTATAGTTACCTCAATCCTAATCCCAATAGAAGCCTAACTTCTATGGATTCCTGTTCAGTACTTACTTTGGACTCCTCAAGAGATAAAGATAAACTCTCTAAGAGCTTTATCCTTATCTTGGCTAAGTCTCTTCTTTATTCTAGAACTCTTGTCCCTTATCTCTTATCCGCTTTTCTCGGACTCCGATATCTTCGGAGATAACCTTGGCTTAACCGAGATTACCTCGGCGTTATGACTTGGACACGTGGCACCTCGGCTGACACGTCAGCGTCACCTTGCCACGTGTTGGTACTCAAAAATATATCCCCACATAATGAATTAAATGTCATATTATAATGAAACTAAATAGAGTTGGAACAAAAAATATGATTCATTCATTTGCCCTGTATTATAGAGAGAACCATTTTCCAAATAGTATAGCCTGCATAGAAGTGGGGTTGATGTCTAACAAGTGCACATCCATAAAATATCCAACTATAATAACAATTTGACCTTTCAACAGTAAATAACACACTCACAAATTACTATAAATTTTACAATAAAAATGATATGTCTCTGGAGCTGGAGTCCTAAGTTGAAACCATCAATGGGATTTCACATTGCTTTGAGCTTGGGACCACAACATTTAACCCTAGGGCAAATTACACGAATTATTAACAATTAAAAGAATCTCTCCCATGATTGCTGAAATTACATTGTTGTTCCCTATCAGAGTCAACCTCCCACCATGCACCACCTCATCAAACAAAACCATTACCACTGCCATTACAAAACCAACCCACCACCTCCATCCACCTCAATCAACTGCCTCAAACACCACCTATTTCTTTTTATTCCCATTTATTTCTACACACCAATTATAGTTATCCCCACTCTTAGTTCTGTCTCCTTACTTTTCTACTCCAACTACGTCCACCACAACACCAAGGGGGTATGTTTATATTTGTTAGCAAAAATAAGAGAAGTCAATTTAATTTAGAAACCATAGGGAAGGTCTATGTAATTGTCAAATACATGTGTATCATTTATGGAGATAGGAAGAAGCTTCGCCTGGACCAGTAATAAGATAACAAGAAGTTAAGTAGGTTGGATAGATCTGTGGTATCGCATGAATGGTTTCAAAAATAACAAAAATTTGTCAATGGGTTTTGCCTAGATTTGTTTCTAATCATTGCCAAGTGATTAGGCCTCTTGAATGTCTTCACAGGCAATTGACGCACTAATGTCTTATTGTTTTAATTTTGATGTATTTGTAGTTGAAAGGAAGACTGTCTATCTTTATATCGTACAATTCTCTTACCATAGCGGCAATAGCCACGAATGTAAACTTAATTTTAGGGTGTACTACGCAAATTTTTATGTTCTTTATGTACATTTAATTTGTCTTTTTATTATTATTCATATTTATGTTTTGTATCTCACCATTCTTAATTAAGTGTTTCAACTCTTAATGCTCTTTCCACTCTCACCCATAGAGTTATTTCATTTACTAGCGATCGCCACATGCGATGCATGTGTATGTAAGGTGTTAGGTTTACTAAAGAAGTCAAGACTTCAAGACACCAACATAAGAAGTGGGTAAGACTCGAACGTAACACTTTAAATTAATAATGAATACACTCAAGTATACATTTTTTTTTTGTACTTATTTAAATGACATACGACCATTAATATATATATGTGTGTGTGTGTGTGTGTGTGTGTGTGTGTGTGTGTGTGTGTGAGGGTAAGACATTACATGTAGGGCTGCAAATGAATCGAGCTGTTCATGAACAAACTCGAGCTTAGCTCGTTAAGGCTCGTTTGAACTCGATTCACTTACTAAATATACAAACTCGAGCTTAAATTTTAAGCTCGTATAATAAACGAGCCGAGCTAGAGCTTAATAGTGTTCGAATCAATTAGGCTCGCGAGCTTAAATAAATAAGTAAATATATATATATATTATATATATCATACATGTCATAAAACTTTGAACTTTTTATTTTTTATTTTCATAATATTTTATGTTTTATTTATTCATATATATATATATATATTATATTGCATGTTCCTAGGCTTGTCCTCAGAAATTAGGCTGCCAATGCCGTTGCCAACAGCTCCATTTTATAAGTAATGAACCTTTAGCATGCTTCTTCCTTGAGCGATGTGGGACTTTTGGTGCAATTGATAAAACGACGCCGTTTGATAAGTAATGTTTCAAACAACTTGGAGTCCCACATCGTTTACATCATGCATTTCAAAGACAGACAGATCTCTATTTAAGTGCAGTAGCTGCTAGCTTTTGATGGTTTCACTTGGTTAATGAGCCATAATGAGCCGAGCTCGAGTAATATAAATTTTAGGCGAGCCGAGCTTGAGTTCACATATGTAGGCTCGTTTCGAGCTCGAGCCGAGCTCGAATATAGTGAAACTCGATTCGGCTCGGCTCGATTACAGCTCTAATTACATGTGATATAGTAAGTTCAAGCCCAACCAATTCAATAAATGGGCTTAAAAGTTTAACCCAACCCGGCCCTATGAACTTAATTATCAATCTCAAACTCTTTAACAATGCTAGTTGGGTTGGGCCAGTGGACTGGTGCTCACCCCTGTATGATACTATGCAAATCATAGGTCTTGCAAATGATCATAATTAGGAATAGATATTTGGCACAACAATGATATCATATGACGTTATTCTTGTTCTTTGTTTTTGAGGTGTGCTGCCAGCACTTAGAACATCCCAAGGTTTTTCTTCAACTTTACATCTGAATCGTTAAATTATTGCAACAAAATAATTGTAGAGAAAATTATGGCGGAAGATCCTAATTCATGAACTAGTGGTAGAAAACTATGAACATTACATTTTGATTTGAGCTATTTCGAAAGGCACTTAGAATAATAGAATGCAGAGACGATTGAAGTAAATTGTCGTGTTTGACATAGAGTTTCTAGCCTCTTGTTTCTTTACTAGACTTTCCAGTTGAGTGCAAAATATTAGACTTTTTTAAAGTGAAATTTTAAGTCTTTTAACAACGAATGTAAATTGCAAAAAACATAAAATTGAAGAGATACACGATTCAAAATAATAAAAATACTCCATTTCACTCTGCAGGACTAAACCAAAACAATTACAACCATGTTGAATTGCCAAATTTAGAGCTTGAAATGTGAAAGCACAGAATTCCCATCAAGACATTTGGCTTGAAAGTAGACCACATAGTCCCTCACAGTGGTTTCCCAGTACTTTGGAGGGTTCTCTTCCGATAACAGCACTTTAATAGGTCCATAAACCTTTGACGATGGCTGAATATCTGTGCCAAAAAAACATGCCACAGATACTCTTGGACCAACACGGTTTGTCAGCACTCTGTGTTCAATGCTTTTGAACTTGTCGTTTGATATGAGCTAAAAAACCAAAAACAAAGTCAAATCTAGCCCATTACTTATTCATGAGAACATGTTGCATTTTCGTGTTATAAATGTTGTCAACGTAAACTGATCCAAACACTCGGTTATCAAATATATGTGTGTGTGTGTGTGTGTGTGTGTGTGTGTGTGTGTGTGTGTTTTGCCAATGTTATATATTAAGAGAATGATAATCATACCAAATTTTAACAAAAATCCCTTACAAAATGATGTTGAAGGTTTAATCTTACGAGGATTCTATACACAAATTTTGTTTATATTTTATATATTATGTGCTTATTTGTTGCAAAGGATAGAACTATTCTTTCATAGGGCAAATGCATATACTTTAGAACACAATTAACAATGCAAATGTTTTAATGTTGTGTTTGGTTGAGGGATTTAGAAAGAGATTTGGAAAGGGAAAAAAAATGTGTGAAATCATGTGAAATATAGATATATTTTATTAATATTTTACCTATATTTTCTCTTTCTCTTTCTAAATCCATTCTCAAATCTCCCAACCAAACACAGCGAACTGAATTTCAACTACAATGCAACTTGAGATCAAATTTTTCAAATTCTATAATGCCTAGACATTTGTATGAGGAACTTAAAATCCACCAATTTGAGTGAAGTGATCGGAGGGTTTAGAAGCTCTTTTAGATCATGTCATGATATTCATCTGTCTTGAAATTCTTGTCACATTATGTGATTAAAAGTACACTGAGATTGAATTTTTGATGACAGATCCTAAATTAAGGACTATGGTTGAAACAAAAGATGGTTAATGAATGAGAGACTTGCCTGTAGGAGATCTCCAATATTGACCACAAGAGCTCCAGGGGTAGGAGGGACATCAACCCAGTGACCTTGGTGAAGAACTTGGAGGCCTCCAATGTGATCCTGCAGCAGCACAGTGAGGAAGTCGTAGTCAGAGTGTTTGGTGGTGCCGACAGTGAGCTCCGGCTGAGGGCATGCTGGGTAGTAGTGGCACAGTACGGTGAGCCCCACGGCGCAACCAATGTCTTTGAGGTGGTTTGGACTCAACCCAAGCGCATCTGAGAGTAACTCCAACAAACAACAGCCTAACTTGATGACTTGTTTTGAGTACTCCATTAAAACATCTCTGCAAGAAAATTAATCAGTACTGAAACATTGTACAAATGCAAAATTTTGTATTTAAGATGATAATCTTAAAAGTTAATTTCTATATTTTGTCAAACTCACAAATTCGATGATTTCCTTAATTTTAAAATATACAAAAACATTTAACTTTTCAATAATCAAACACACCACCACCACCACCAGGTGGTGGTGAGCAGCTCGATTTGTGGGGCACAACTAGTGTCCCATTTATTTGGTGAACCTGACTGTACTATGTTCCGCTCAAGATTCTGTCTCCTGTAATGCAAGTTTATATATTCTCTGCTTACCCCCGATGATGATCCCTTCTTTTGAATTTAAATTGAGATAAATCTGGCTCATAAACCAGAGCCCACGACGTGAAATAATGCATCCAAAGAGCACACTCCGCCACAAATTTCAAAACAAAAACTATAAAGCGGCAAATAAGGCCAAACTAGTGCTGCTCGCAATCATAACATGAAGAAATAAAACTTTATGTGTCTGGCTTCCCTCCAGTCTGATACTGTTGGGTCCGTGGAGGTCTACCACGTATCCTGTTTCAATAATTTGAACCGTTTAATGTGTAGAACTCGTCGAGTACTATATGTCTGTAAATAATCACTTTGATCGTATATCGATAACTACATGATCAAATCAGTTTTTTATATTAAAAAAAATGGACAATGAAAAAATAAACGATTGATAGAAATTTGATCCGATAAAATAGCTATCGATATCCAATCGACGAGTTTTACATATTAAAAGATTTGAATTATCAAAACGGGACTCGTAGTAGGCCCCACAAGCCTAGCAATACTCTCTAATCTGATCACAAACTGAAAGGAAGCCCAGCCCAAACTTTATTATCTAAAATGATATCCACAAAAATAACATGGTAAGATCCACTCAATGGTCAAATCTACAGTTAAAATAGTTTACGAGATTTTGTTTACTTGTTGGGAGGGAATTTAATTATAAATTATAAATTAGTTTAAAAAATATATATTGGGCACCCAAGTCTGAAATTTATCTCTGAACCTCTTGGACTAAGCTCAAACTTAAATCTTTTTAGACTAAAGAAGGGAAATTTTAATAAACATCCTTTTAAAAAATATATACTATATGCACATTTAATTATGTTATTTTTTTTTATTTTCTTCTTTAGTTATGACATTATTTTAATTATGACTCATGAGTTTTTGAGTTGTGACATGTTGTCTTTAGTTATGATTTTTTTTTTTAGTTATAATTAAAAAAATTAAAGTTGTGTTATTTTCTTTTTAATTATACAGTGCATATGGTACACACATTTTGAAAAATGTGCACCAAAGTATTTCTCCTAAAAGAATATTATTTGACCAAGAGGACACCTATCGGTTAAAAACTTGCCTCAACATCTATTCAAATATCTCACTCTTTGTACACAATGTTAGCCAGTGTTCCCCCTTGCAGAGGCAGGATTTATGGCGGCACAAAATTCAGAAGAAGTTGTGGTTATGACGGCTGCATTGGAGCAGGGGGCCGCTCCGCAAGGTGAGGCCAGCATCAATATGTCACACCCACCCAGGTCGCCCGTTGTGCACCCAGTCTGGGCTCCCCAGTTATATCAGGCTTGTGAGCCCACCACCTTTGAATTGATGGGAA